AAAAAAAAAAAAGAGAAAACCCACCCCACCCCACGTCACCCCACCCCAAACAAACACCATCTGTTACACCATTCCACCCCACCCCACTTCTCTCTCTCTCTCTCTCTCTCTCTCGTGACCCAATTAGTCCCCCACCATTCCTCATTTACACCCATCACGTTTTCATCAGAATGCCCATTTAATTGGACACACTACTTCAGATTTGAAATTAAGTGAAGAATATAGCAGTTGCAAAGCACTGTCGGTGCCGCTTCACATCTTAAAAGAGGTCGCCTTCCTCTTTTCTTCGTTCCCAAACAGCACCACCATCATGATACTCGCCCTCCCATTCTGATCTCGCCTAGCGACAGCAGCAGCCGAAGGAAGCAGCTGCACTACTACTCTCCGCACGTTCACCAGCTAGTAACCAAGAAGTGAGCGTTGTCATTCGTTCGTCGCCCTTACTTCCTCTCGTTTTCACACAGGCCCCGACACGTCTCGTTGGCCAACTCGTAGCACGACCCTCGGTACCGCCTTATCCTGCCAAGCAAATACGACCCAGGCTCGGTAATAATCTCGAACCCAAGTTTCCTTCGGACTCAAGTTATGTTGTAGCTAATCGATCCGCATACGTAATAAACCGTAGCTTTGCCACAAGACGTCGGGGGTTCAAACGGCGATCGACAAGAAGGAACGACACCCAGAATCATCAAGCCCAGTTTTAAGTTCAACCCAAAGGTAACAGATCCGAGTCTATAAGATTAACTCGAGTTAGTAACGTATAAGCAAGTTTTTGGTTTTAGTGACCAAATTACAGTCTTTTAGTGACGAATTGACGCTGTCGCAAATGATTGCTGGGCAATTGTCCAGATCAGTCCCCCATGAATTCAGTACATACAACTTAGTCCCTCAGAGTTTTAAGTTTTGATAATTTGGCCCGAAAATCGTATTTTGTTTTCATGGGTATGTTTATTTCCGACACTTTCCAGTGGGTATTTTCATAATATGATAATTTTATAAATTTGAGAATATTTGTATAAAGCTCGTGTATAAATTTTAGAATTTTTGGATCTGTATTTGTATTTATAAAAATTAAACGAATGTTGGTTTTAATTAATTAAAATACTGTACGAAGTCGTTTTGGTGATTTGATAATTTTCCATGAAACTATGATTATTTACAGATGTTATAAAATTATAGAGGAGAATTATTAGATTTTGTGACTCGATTTAAAAATTATATATGATTAATTTTAATAGGAAAAAGAGGTCATTTAAAAGAGGGGCTTATGTTTATTAATTGAGATTAATGATTTGAGTTAACCAAGGTCAGAATTTGGAGTCTTAAGTGGAAAATTTATTTTGAGAAATTTATGAGGATTTTATGAGAGCTATTTTAGGAGTTATTGAATTGTTTGAGATGATTTAATTCTTGATTAAAGGGTTGAAAAGTTAAGTTTTAAGGAATTGATTTAAAAGAGATTGAGGGCCATTTTTAAAGGATTTTGGGACTAAGTGATCAATGAGGGAAATTTTTTCCAATACGTTAAAGAGACTAAATATGATGATTACCGACTAAGGGAAGATGATTTCAGTTTATAGGATTGAGGAAGCGATCGGATTAAGGATTAAACATCAAGGGAACTAAGAATCGTCATTTGAGAGGTGAGTGGTTTAAGGGGGTAAATTCTACGCCTTACGTATTTTCAAGTATTTGACTTACGAGTTTTAAGTATGTGTGTTTATGTGAATTGTATGCCAATGATTGATTTGTGTCGTTATTGATGAGCATGTTTTATTTGAGATATTATCTGAGATGCTCTATTTGAGTTATGATTGTCAAGTATATGATTATTTGAGCTTTCGGTATTTACTTGAAGCTTTTATATTATGTTTATTTAATGAAGGTTGTTTGATCTTTAAAAGATCAACATTTAAGAGGTATTTCACTCCTAATTAAATTAGGGTGAAAAGATTTAAAGGTAGTTCACTAACGCCAGTCCCCCGCCCCAGTGAAAGTTTAAAGGAAGAGCAAGTTTGCTCTTAAGGAACATGTGGATGAATCACTTAGACATCACATGAAGTTTAAAGGAAGAGTATGATATACTCTTAAGGTTTATGGGGTTGAATCGATTACTCCCATAAAAAGGTTTAAGGAAAGGCCTATGTTGGCCCTCATACGTATGAGCTGGGCGGTTGGACTAGTTAGTGAGGGGATCCCAGTGTCGGTCAAAGGTTTAAGATTTTGAGGGTGGCGAGTAATAACAACTCCCACATTTCTTTTTAAAGGGTTAAAGTATTAAAGGGTGGAAGTATAAATAACTTCCACAAGTTTTGAGGTGAACACTTAAGGGAATACCCGTAAGTGATTCAAGTTTAAGTAATGGCGTAGACTGACCCCAACCCACTCACCAGGTCGTAGAGGAGGAGCTAGGGAGCATCCATTCGAGGAGCACCTAGTGAGAGAGCAGGCTACCAGAGGGGGACCACGTGAACACTTCTGCAGATGTCTGATCACGGATCGGAGTAAGCAGCATTTGTAATCTTTAGTTATTTGCTTTATGATTATGAGTAATGACTGGAGATTTAAAAGGATAAGGCTTTATGGATTGAGGTTTGCCCAAATGTTAGGGCTTTGCTTTTAAATTATAAGGTGTATTTTCAGTATTGGTATTTCGAGCACATTATTATTCCTTTCAAAATTTTAAATATGCTCCGGAGCAAAATTGTTATTTAAGGGTTTTAGAGATCGGGATGTGACATTTCCCATATACAATGCTGGAGATCTATGTCGTCATCTCCCTCTCACCTTCACCTATGCATTATCCATATCTTTTTATCGTTTCCAACCCTTGCAAATGTGTCGAGTTTGCGTCTGGATTAGTCAATTCTGATATTCCTCCTTTTACTTATTATTTTCTATGTTTTCCTTTAGATTGTTCCCTCTTTTCAGTTTAGCACAACGTTTGTCTAAGAATCCAAGGACTTGATTGCAAGATAAAATTAAAATTGGAAGTCAGACTGTCAGGTACAAGTGCTTGCTTGCTTACAGTTTCAGCCACGAACGATGCCTGTTCCCATGGGTGTGACGGGCTATAAACAAGAACGTTCAATGTTGGAATTCACATATGCAAGAGTATTCATTCTGTGGGTTTAAAAACCCCAATGGATGAACTTCAGATTCTTGGCATACAGAGTGTTGCAGAATGTCTATAAGATATCATTTATCCAGGGGCACATTAAATGCTTATTATGACTTGCAAACATGTTTTCTCATATGATTTATTGGGTAATGTTTGAACAATTCTCTAATTCTTAGGTTTGTAATATACACTATTCTGTTCTACGCCTTTAGTAAAAACTCAGCAGACATTTCTATAGGGAAAGAAAGAAGGAAATGGTGAAGTTTCGATTGCTCACGTACTTTAAAATTGAAAAAACAAAACCCCAGCATCCTTTTATTGTTGCTTTGGATAATATTTGTATTTTTTTTTTTTTTTTGAAAAGCTTAATAATATTGGTTTATGTTATCATGTAGTATTTTCATTTTGTTACCTTTAAACCAACAGACAACACATCTATAAATCTAGGTGAACACCCTTCCCGGCGCGAAGCGCGGGCAATGAGAACTAGTCTCAATTTATAATGAGATCATTGTCTGGGAAGGGAAAATAAAAATATTACGGGCAGAAAACATGTGGCGAGTAGACCACACACCATGGCTTTAAATAATTGGGCCTCTTTCGACATTTCCATGCTGGACAGATCATAGCCACAAAACTGATACGGTCACAGTCTCACAGAAGCGAGAGTCAGAGGGGAATGGGCCATGGCCCAAATGGGCTACATACTGGAGTCTGTGTAAGTAATGAATTAAAAGGCTAGGTAGGTGAAATTCATGTCACCGTAACTTGCACTTTTAGGTCGACTTTATATAATATAAGGTCGATCTAATATGTTGTTTCAGTTTTGTGAGGTTCGTGGGAAGCACACGGTTGACCTTTTATAGCAAATGGTCGACCTCGTGGGAAGCACATGGATGACATATACGACTATATGGGCCAGATTTCCACCAGATTACTGGCATGTACGACTACATGGGGCAAATGACCACCCAGATGAGCACACTGCAGGTGACCGTGAATGAGATGCCAGATGAGTTTCGATCTTTCAGTGGAAGATACATGCATGTCACCGTAAGTCCGTAACATCCGACTACCATAATGCTAGCAACACCAATGAAGAAAATGTGGACGAGGGAGAGAGGGGACAGGAGTAGGAACTCGACTATTTTAGATTGTATGTTTTTTTTTATTAAGTGTTAAAAACGATTGTAGATTGATATTATGTGGTTTGAGATTTTAGTTATGTGTGAACAATTATGATTTGTGTTTTATTGTATTTCTTGTTAGTTTGTTTAGTTGTTATGTTATGAAGTTATGAATCCTTGTTATCATTATTTATGACTGATTCTATTGGTTTGGAATGTAATTTGTACGAGCAAAATAACCACCCACATCGCTTCCCAAAGAGGTCGATCATTTGCTATAAAAGGTCAACCGCGTCGTTGAACCTCACAAAACTGAAGCTAAGGAAAATGAGAGGAATTATTTGTATGAAGTTATGTGATTATAATGAATTCTCTTTATTAGTAATGAGGGTCGTCTGATTTAAATCATAGTAATTAGGTACTGACTAAAATTTTATCGACTACTATATTTCATAAATTTACCTATATTTCAAAATCGAACGGGACTACAGCCCTTTTGACTTCAACCTACTTCCGCCATTGGTCTCGCACACAATGTTATTGGGGTTGATTATCATTAATGTATCGCATGAGCACTATATACATACTTCCATATCTCGTTTCGATTGGATGTTTCCTTGGTTGTCGTTCGTTATTATCATCAAGTCGTGGATTTCAACGAAATAAGCTTCTATATACATAGCTAGCTATAGCTTGCATCCAGCTATATGAGATCATAAAAGTAGCAATATCTAGCGTGGGTTCACGATCGATCATGAGGCTTGATCGATGATCACGACTCGGTCTGGGTCGAGCCGCTCCAGCTTGAACCGCTCCTGAACGGCAGAGATGTAAGTAGAAGCTCTGGTGTCTATCCTGCAATCCCCAACCACCCCAAAGAACTTGCTGGGACAATGATCAACCTGCTGCCGCCGCCTTTGCATTGGCTTCACTTCTGTCGCCGCCGTGGTAAAAAACGACACTGTGTTTTGAGGGAGTTGTACCGCCGATGAAGGAGAAATAGTTGTTGTAGTAGTAGACTGAGTGTAGTACTGCATGTTGTTTCTGGGATTAGGCTGCTGCCTCGGCGCCGGATTCGCCGCCGGTGGTGATTTGTAGAATGGCATCAGTTTGTTCTTCACCAACCCTCTTCTTTTGCGGCCGTTGGTCTCCATTTTGTTTACCTTATCACTCAACTTCTGTTGGGAAGTACGTTTTCCTTTTTTTTTTTTTTTTTGTTATAAGTTGTGGAGTGTGTGGTTGTTTGTGTTTTAGGAATGATAGGGCAAGAGGGATGCTGCCCTATATATACGAGTATATGGCCGACGTCGGAAATATCTAAAAAGCAAGCGAGTATAATATCTTGTACTTCTTTGCTTGTGTGGAGAAGGGAGATCATCTAGATGGTTATAATATATTCCAATGTCTTAAAAGACATTTCTATAATTGGTTTGTCACATATTTGTTTATATGTACATAGTTATTTCGGATTCTTGATTTGAGTTGTTTAGAGAAATTTAGAGCCCATTTTATATTAATCTATCAATATATATGTAGGATCAATATTTATTTATGAGTTGACTTGAAACTTGTAACGATTTGAGTGGTCCGTCAAATTCGTTTTAATTCAGCCTAATATGATCGAGCTCCAAAACGGCTGAGGTATGATTCATAGCATGATTCCAAGTTCAAACACATTAAGTTAATGCATGTCAAGATTCATTTGAAGTTGAAGAAACATGCATCTTATCAAACGATTCCAACTATAATGTTTGTCGACTTAACATGCTAAAGAACTCTGAACCAAGATTGTCACCAAAGTTATGTTTTTTAAAGTTCGTGAGCATTTTTTCTTACTTTTATTTCCATGCATACGCAGTACTAATTACATCATGTAGGCATGATTGCATATATATTCGACCAATTACAGACTGAAATTTGTTAATGGGGGATAAAAGTTTGGAATCCATCCACGGCACTTTATCAAGCAATTTGGTTTATTTATTAATGGCCACCTTCAAATTGTGTTCTCACTAGTTAAGTAGCCTTGGATGGCGATTAGAAAATCGAACCTAGCTCATGGCTTGTCTATATACCCACCACTCACCGTTGGAAATAGTGGATATATAAGAATATTGCACTTTTTCCTCATAAAATGCTCTCTTTTTGTGCCACTTGGTTGGGTCATGTCACTTATATTTACTTGCAACATCCATATTTTGGTACAAACGAAATATATAGTGTACTTGTGTTGGGGCTGCTAGGTGTTTTACCCAATAATTCAAGCGGACAGAAACAAAGAATAGGTGCAAAAATGAATTCTAGGCAGTCTTTTCCTATATGTTTCTCATATTTAAACCGAGTATGAGTTTGAAGCTTCACACGGTAAAATATTCAATAATTCAATCAGTTAGAAACTTAAAATAGATGTAGAAATGAATTTCATACTATCTTGCTCTATATACTTCTCGTAAAATAATCAATCGAACATGAGTTTAAAACTTCGCTCGGGAAAACTTTAAAATGTTACATTCAAAATAAATCTTGTACCGACCATTGGTTATGCACGTACACATAAATTAAAATACATCGAGCTAAATCACGATAACAAATTTTCAAAACACAAAGTAATATTAATACCTCTGCAAATAGTATTCTTCAAGACGAAAACAAGAAAGATTCCAACCAAATTATCCTCGACATCACTGCAAATGTAGTAAATTGGACAAAATATTCCACCTGTACGTCTAGTCCTATTCGAAACCACCACATGGTGTATTGTTTGTTTGTTTCTCTTTATTCCCTTTCAATTCATATACCATTCCTCTGAATTATTGTCCCTCCTCTTTTTATACCCTTTATTTTTCTACATATTCTATCTACATTGATCCCTCTTGCTGATGCTAGCATATCCTTCGAGCTACTTCCATTTTCTCCACATAATCTTATTAATATGTTGAAATATGTTATTTTATTTTATTTCATTAGTTTATTATCATTCGTGATTCAAGCCAAATTAGCAAAAACATGTTCGGTGGCTTATCCGATAAGTGAGAGTAACGTACTTGATCATACATGTACAATGACGGCTTCTAATATTATTCACAAATCTAGCGAACAAAAACAATTATGCTTATTATCTCATATTTACCAACTAATTAAGTTATCAATGATATTTCACCTCTTCTCACACGAAAATGTTTTAAATTTAGTTACTCTAGTATAATGGCTGACCACCAACATCTAATGTTTACCAATCGAACTAGAAGTAATGGTATTGATATAAAATATCACATCTAATATAGATGTCACATCACATTAAATACTCACATATTCACAAAAATTCTTCAATCAAAGAGTTCGATCATCATTAGAGGAATAAATGTGGGCATCATTTTAGATTTGTACATTTTGCATATTGTTTAAGACCATTCCACTTCCAACTAATAAAAAAAAGCATACATTCAACTTTCCTCTTTTGAAGTCTATATCCACTCCATATTGGTTAAGCTTGACCATTTAGGTCGCTAGCTAAGATCCCTTCTTTAAGGAAGTTATTTGTTGAAGGTATTTCCCCTTGTCTATCAAAGACAAACGAGAAGAAAATTCTTTATCTTTGGAAAAATTCTGCTGACCCCATTTGGGTACGCATCAACCACAAAGCTTATCTCCAATTTTTGCCAAAGCTACTTTTTGTTGTTAACTTGTTATCGTAGGGATTCTTATTGCCAAGACACCAATATACGGCTCTTTTCCCATTGGGATGATGGATTGAAAAAGAAAAAAAAAACAAGAAGGAAGAGAGAGTACAAAAGGCAAAAAGGTTGAAGATTTGAATTCCACATTCCAAATCACCAAGGCCTTTAAGTGGCTCTTTATCTTTGCATGGTTGCCTCACTCCTACAATCACGTTACCTAATTATGTGAATGGTGAAAGTTTTCATTTGAAACAAAATTTCATTCAAGGGAGTGTGTTTATTTTATGTCTTGAATGTTGAATCACTTTTATGCCATATCGACATAATCAGTATTGTTAACCTGAAGTACACCATGATGATGTGAGTTCAAGTAAACTAGTTTTGAGCTATTTGACAAATTCACTTTAGAAACATGAATCTTCAGTCATCTGAATTTCTAAATACAGAGATGTCTGTAGAGAAGAGGAAAAAGGTATAAAAGCATACCAAGTTAACAACAACTCTTTAAATAAGCTCACCATAGAAATATGAAACTTCACTTGGCTCTAGAACAATTGATAAAAAAAGATCACTAAATATGTAGTGAATATCATATTATAAATATTTCTCTGTGACGAAAGTAACCCAAAACAAATACAAAGTCAGAACTAAAAAGCACACATAATCTCATTTTTAATACTTATTCTAAAATAGTTCCGCAAGCCAACATTAAGCATATACAATATTTTTACTAATTACTACCGATACATCACCATGCAATCAAGATGGAAAAAAACACATATTTTAGAGTTTTTTTTAGATCAGAAGAGAAAAAAATGTTTTCAAAATTTCCAACACAAGCAGCCAATCACATCGTATATTTTCGGCCCAGGGAATCAAAGCTGAGTTCAGGCCCAAAGGCCCGAGAGCCGAGATGTCCGCTGTCTTAATTTTTGGCCCAGGGACAAACCAATTAGGCTTCTGGTCCGAAAGACACGCTGCTTTACTACCAACGGAAAATGAAGGCGCATCTTTTTTTTTTACGAGGCAGCTTCTTCCTCAAGCTGCAAAATTCGTCTGCCTGCCAACAAAAACCTTCCCTAAAACCCTAGCGCTCTTCCACCATTGCCAATACTCAAGAGACCATTCGATCAACTAGTGGCAAACCAGTAGTAGATAGTGTCTCTTTGGCAGGGTTAACATGAGGTTGACTAATTTCATTCTCACTATCGTCGGCATCAGCGCAGTGGTTCTCCTGCTAAGGAGCGACGTCAAGCAGTCCGCCGTCATTCTCCGCCACAACGTCAAGCACATCCGTACCTGGCTCGAAGAAGAATCAGCCGCCGCTTCCAAGTAAGCCTATTTATTTTGCAATGGTAAAAGTTCGATTTCCCGCGTGATTTCGTTTGAGCTTCGATTCTATTGACGAACAGAATCCAACTTCTGAATGTGAAAATCTTTTGCTTCCAGTTTCTCTCCTTGAGAAATCGTTTTTGGTAAAGAGATAACGATAGTTCAATAAACGTGTAGCGGTTTGATTGGGTGGGTCCTTGATTGGTACGGATTTGGAAGAGCTTTGTTCTTAATCGCTTTTACATACCGTTTGGTATAAATGAATTCCATAAGTTTTGAAGAATTCATTTAGATAAATGAAACATTTTCGTGTTTGGTATTTAAAAGAATTCATTTTCAATTCTAAATTGTGAATTCTATGGAATTGGATGTAGTTATAGTAATTCTGAGGAATTGAGATGAAAATTACAAATGAATTCCACAAGTATTTACTAATTATAATAGAATGACATAATTATCCTATTTTCTTAAGTAAATTACTTATACATATGACATAACAAACACAAGAATTCATTTGACAATGAATTATACACGACAATTCATTCTATTTCTAAAGATTTGAATATGATATACCAAACACAAGATTTCATTTGACAATGAATTCTACATGGTAATTCATTTTACAATGAAATGAATTCTCGATTTATTTGGTACCAAACGTTATGATTCGGAATTTCATGAAGATATGTGGTGGCAAGCTATCAAGTAACATTTGGTGCTACCACTGTGCTGCTTTCTTCCTAGTTGAGAGTCGGATATGCATGTCTGCTTGTGAATAATAGTTGTTTGATAATTTACCTTGAGTCTGTGGTTACTGTAGTCAGTATATTCTCAATACTGGAGAACCCTTTTGCATAGTATAGGATGAACTTGTAGTTCTGTTTCGTCTATGTTGTGAACATACTATCCTGCGGATTTTCCCTTTTCCCACTTTTTGGATTGCTGTTGTAAGGTCTAGACCTCAGAGAAGATGGGAAAGAAGTAGGCATTTGTATTAAGGCAGTCTCTTGTGTTTTGCCCCCTTTTGCCGAGTTAGAAGTGGGTACATGACCTCACTTTTTCTTAGGTGATTTGGTACCCTTTTGAGGTCCAGCTTCCAAGTTATACCTTCCTGAAAATCACTTGCTCTGCGATTCTGGTTTCCTGGTGGCTAGGGCAGAAGTGCCTTTGTTTTAGGGAAGAAATGGTGAGAACAGAAGGCATAATAGAGCTACTTAGTCACTCATACTTGAATCAGAAGGGAAGAATAGCAGTTTGAAAATCTGAAATATTTGTTCATTGCCTTGTAGTTTTTATTCCTCTTAATGCTTTGTGATTTGCGTATAGTCAATTACTCGTAACGACTCTCTAATAGTGACTTTTACAAGCATAGTCCTAGTGACCTTAAATACTCTTCTCTTTTGGAGACTTGAAATGACTGGTTATCTAGCTTGTGCTATTTAACTTTGTTGTAATGAAGGTTCTTAACACACTTTTAGGCTGTTGCCGGTCTTATCAAAGATTTAGGTAGTAAACCATCATGCAGTGAAACTCCAATAGATTACTTCGTCTGAACCTTTCGTATTTCTTATGCTACCTCCTACTGTTATGCTGTTGCTCACATGATTGTTTAATCCATAGGAATAGTACACATGGGGAGATCATATCTCCGCTTTGCTGTTCTTTTAGCTTGTCCAATCGATCATTTGGAGTATTGAGTCACTCAATTTGCAGTTCTTGATGTGATCTACTTATGATCCGAGAGGCTAATGGCATGGTATTTGCGTTATTTTCAGGACTGAGAAGGCAACACCAAAGGAAGTAGAAACAAAGGTTCCCCATAAAGAAACTCCCAAGGAAGAGAAGAAGTAAGCAACTGCAAGAAGGAAGCTTGCAATGTCTAGTTAGCCCTCCCATGATTCTAATTAAGCCACTGTTAAATAGTTCCTATTCCAAGTTTTATCGATTAATTGAGATAGCGTATATTAAATTCGTCAAATTTTGGTCTCATTTTTGCCTTGTAATGCTCACTCATTAGGTTATGTTCATGCTGATTCTCCAGCCAGAAAATAATTAATTATGCTTTGTTGTTTGGTTAAGAAATAAAAGTTTTGATGAGTTTCAAGTTGTAGAATTCGCAAACTAGTCACTTTGTGTAGTTATCGAAAGTACATATTAAGTTTATAAAAATTGGAGAAATATAATAGTTGTTACAATTATTTATCTTATGTCAAGATGTCGTTTGGAGGTTGGGATTTCAAGCGATGTATTTAGCCAATGCATGTAATGTCAAGATTAAGTCGTTTTTCCGGTTAAATTTGTGACATAATACATGTATTACCTTTTTCTGGACCCACCCACAATCACTCAAAATGAGTGATTATCAATCTCTACCAAAATGTGAGATTGTGACCAAGGGATTGTCTACCCTCTACTTTTTCATTTATAACAAAGCACAATGTAAACCTATAATAAAGATATTTTTTAAATTCATACATTTAATCAATACATCAAATTACAATACACAAATTGATTAAATATTTCAATTTGGAGAATCCCAACCTCCAAACAACCCTTTAGTTTCCAATAACTCTATTATATATGAGTTTATGATCACCACTTAACATTTGAGTTTTTTCCCCCCTACATGCCGATTAGAAACACATGTTGACATCTTTGGAGTACTCTCTCCAACGTTCCCTATTGTAGGAGCATATACAGTAACGATATTTTTTTAGCAAATAATCCTACTTACTATGTATATGAGTCTATGGTCAGGGTATGCACATGGTGAACCAACAGTATAAGCGTGCACTGAATAATTGGAAATTTTAGTTGTTACTTACAAAGAAGTCTAATTTCTCATAATAATATATTTTGTGCATATGCGTTGCTGCAATCGAGATTTCATTCGAGGTTGATGCAGACGGAGTACTCAACATAACATACAAGAACAACTCGACTGAGAAATTTGAATTTATATTTATTACTTATTAATAACTACAAAGGAAATCTTACGGTGGAAAAAGAGATAGAACAGATGGTCGGGGAAGACAAGAAAATCAAGGAGCGTGTTGAAGCGAAGAACTGATTAGAGAGATACACATTCGATGTCAAGGCCGCTCGCAACAAGTGATTATATTATTAATATCAATTGAGATTAACATGACAAGACTAGTGTGGAGATTGCACTGAGCGAAGCTTCATAATGGTTGGATGATTATGGGAATGATGCATCATCATCACCCTCTAAGAAAGAATATGAGAAGAGGATGGAGATGTTGGCGGATATATGAAGGGTGTATATATAGTGTATAGATTGATGATAATGCCTCCAGTCTAGAAACTAATTATACTATGTTTTTTTTTGTTAAGAAATAAAATAGACTAGGTATACTGAATTTAAATATTTTAGAAAGATTATAGATCATATACTTTACTATTTTCTTCTTACATGTACTTAATCATTTACCCATTGTGATTATATGTAAATACATCAAAACATGTATATCCTAATAAACTCCACACTAATCAATTTGGTAAAAATGAAAATAAAAGGTAGTTGTAAGCATAACTAATAAATATTGTGTTTAAATAATAATTTAAAGAAAATATATATCTTTATTGATTAATTAAAAAAGGAGTATATTCATAAAATAAAATAAAAATCAATTAAAAGGGAATGTAGATTTGGATCTGGTTCAAGATATGCTCAAAGTTATCGGTAGGCCTCTCAATAGGGTGGTTGTGAGCGCCTTCATAAGTTGTGACCAATACTCCTTCGTCAGTTAGCCTTTAAACTTGCTTCTTCACATTGCAACCTTGGTACGTACACCTGTAATAGCCCCTGCACCCACGTTTAGTTCTATATATGTTATATGTCAATTGGGAACAAGATCACACAATGAGATCATATACACACTTATGCTAGGTAGCTAGTCCACTTCCTCCATGATTCTGTATTTGTTTCAGGAACAGAGTACCTTTGTATTTACATCGACTACAAGTTTAAGCAGTACAAAGACAGAAAATCCTTCACCCACCATCACTGTCATGACCACCACCACAACAACTGTCACAGTTGACCAGAGACATATTTGCTTCACCACCATCACCGACAGAACCAACCCATGCCCATTCTTTCACCAGCATCAACACAATCTTCCCTAGTGTATAAGAACGTCGACAAGAGTAAGAGTACATACGATATAAAAAATGATGGTACATACAATAGAAGAACAATGCTATAGAAGAGACAGTCTCTTGTTCTTTCATTCTTTGTATAGGAGGTTCTTCTTCAAGGAGGCCTCAAGTGAGCTCGAGTAGGTGAGCTCTATGTTCTGATGTAAATGGTACACAAGAACCAATTTTGTGTGTGATGCCGAACAGATGCCTATTCAGGCTCTCATATGTTGATATGTCTATATGTTTATGACATTAGTGAAGATTCGATTACTAGCTATTAACATACCAGCTTTATACTGTGTGCCTCATTGTCAATGATATATACAGTGGTTAATAGCAATATATTTCAACATACCACTTTTCTATTGTCTATTGTTATGTTCATGACATATGTCGATAGCTAGCCAGAAGCAATAGCCCTCTCGGGATTCTAGTTAATCCACTATTAAATAGTTCATGTTCGAAACTTTATCAATTAGTTGAGATAGCATATACTTAGTTCGTTGAATTTTGGTATCACTTTTTCCTTGTAAATTGTAATGCTCAATCATTAGGTATATTCATTCTGATGCTCCAGCCAGAAATTAATGAATTATACTCTTTTGTGCGGTTAAGAAATAAAAGTTGTGTTGAGTTTCAAGTTGAACTTCGATTCATGCATCGGCGTTCTTCGAAAGTGAAATATACTCCAAACTTCTTCAAGCTCAACTTGTAGGCTTGTTCTGCATTTTTTCTTAGGCTTATTTGTTGGCTCTCCTCCAACCCCTTTTGAGTAATTTTATCAGCTGGTTCAGCGTGAGGGATTATAAGTATGGACCTCTTCCTGACGTGCATTTAAAT